AATTTTTCCATGAACTATTTGAAACTCACTCATATAACTGCGGAATATCACCCATAGTGCTCAAACCTCAATGAAATGCCATTTCTGTCTTTTATATAATATAAGGGACGGAGGGCAACATATCATTGCATCTGAATTAAAAAGCTAAGAATTAACCATAGCTTCTTTAATAAAGCTTTCCTTGAGGAATGTGACAATATTTTCAAATTTCTACTATCAAAACCCTCTGCCGAGCATTTCCACAAGGAAAGCAGTTAAGTTTGCAGACTTGGGAGCCAGATGTCCTAGTTAGTAGCCAGTTACTAGCTGTGAGAACTTGGGCAGGTTATTTTACCTCGCTAAGCTTTGTGTCCACTCTTGTATACTGGGTGGCAGTAGTAGGGGTTTTGAGGAATAATGTAACTAAGGGCTTGGGCAGGTTGGGTGACTTAGCAGTTACACAGGGTTACTATACGCGTGTATAGTACATGTCCATGCACATCCTCCTGATTTGCCTACACCCACCTTAAACAGTCCTTTCTCCTCTTCCTTCCCACGTATTTAGTTTGAGCCCAATTAATTACTTTTTCCTTCTTGGTAAATTGACTTTTTCTCTTACTATATTTTGATTTTTATGAGGGTGGGGATTCAAACTTCTATTTGTTACCTTTTAGGCATGTAATATAGAAATATCTTACAGAGAATGTATTTTCTAAAGGTCTTATAAAATGAAGGAAACAATAAAATAAACAATTTAGCAGGATCTTGTTAAATTCCTTCAGCCTTGTAGCAATATACTCATTCTGAATAAATGGCCAGATTGATGGATTAGACATTAATAGCTGGAATAAAAATGATTAGTTTTTAACATAATACTTGTCTCAGTGATCCTTTACTGCAAGCATTTTATTGTTCTTAAATGTGTTTATGCAATAAAATTGCTAGAATTAAATACTAAAGAAAACAGTTGCAAAGAGTAGTTTAAAATGTTGGGTTAAATAAAAATTTAAATAAATTAAAAAAAAAAACACTTATTGCTGCCATTTCCAGCTCATAGTGACCCTAGAGGGCAGAACAGAACTGCCCCATAGGGATTCCAAGGCTCAGTCTTTAAGGAAGCCGACGGCCACATCTTTCTCCCATGGAATGACTGCTGGGTCTGAACCTCTGTCCTTCTGGCCAACAGCTGAGTGCTTTACCTGCTGTGTTATCAGGGCAAATCTTAGATACTACGAAATTTTTCTGGGCTCAAGCAGCATACATTTTGGAGTTTCTACAGCAGCATTTGGGGACCAGACACTGATAAAAGAAGAGTAAAGACAGACAAGACCACTGCCCTCTTAGTGTTTGCACTGTAGTGCGAAAGAAAAAACAAACATTGTAATTGTGGAGTATGACTCATGCTTTGAAGTTAATGAGCTGTGTTGTAAGAAAGAGTAACATGGTGGAGTAGGAATTTCAATGGATAGAACTTTCGTGGAGGGTCTTTCAGCTGAACTGTAACCTGAGACCTAAAGGATGAGACATGCTCACTACACCGAGTCTGGGTTTAACAAAAATTCCAAAGAGGACAGAGCTTGAGGCTAGAAACTATCAGAAGGTCACAGTGGAGGGGAGAGTAACACATGTAGATGGTGGGCTTGTACAGGCGGGCAGTGACTAGAATGGGTTTGGCCTCAGCGTTGTGGCAAGGAATTTGAATTGTAGTGTAATTACAGTGGGAAAAACTCATTTGGATTTTCAAGTGGGGTTAAGAGGTGACATGATCTGTTTACACTTCTGAAAAATTTCTGTGGCTGTTATGTAATTTAGGGATTATAAGTGGATGGTGATACAAGTAGGGAAAGCAGATAGGAGATGAAAGCAGAATTTGAGGGTGAAGTAGCAGTGCCAGTAGCATGGCAGCAGAGCAACTCCATTTGATGTGAATGAATGAGGGACCAGGAGAAAGAAGTCTACAGGTTTCTGGCTGGATGGTGGTACCATTTTTTGAGATTCATTGTAAGGGCTAATATACTCAGGGAGCATGAAGGTAAAGATGTCAGGTAGGCAGCTCAATACAGAGGCCTGGATTTCAGAAGAAAGATCTAGACTGGAGATTTAAACTTGAAAGACATCAGCAAGGCAGTAATGCTGAAAGATACAGAAACATCATTGTGGGTGAGGATGTGGTTAGAAAAGACAAAGACTTCAGGACTGTGTCCTTGGGAACTCTAGCACTTAAAGGAGAACAATCCAGCAAGGAAGCACATGGCTAGTGACCATAAGAGGAAAGGCAGAAGAGGGTTATGTACTGGCAACAGAGAGAGAAAAACCGTCCCTGGAAAGAAGAAGTTGTCAACTGGTGAAACCTGCTAAGATGTTAAGATGAAGACAGAATTCATGTGATCTGTCAATATGGCAGTCATTAGTAACTTACAAGAACAGCATCAGTTGATTGAAGAGAATGAAAGTCAGACAGATTCAAGGTACCTTGAATTTACTTGATATGGTTTTTCTATCCAATGTCTTCTTAATTTCCACCAAGTGATTGGGTTGTTGCTGTCAAGTTGGTTCCAACTCATAGCAACCCTGCATAGTGTATAGTGTTTCTGTGGAGCAGCTGGTAAACTTGAATCACTGACCTTGAAGCTTAAACTGACCTTGCAGTTTAGTGCTTTGTCTGCAGTGCCACACCAGGACTCCTAAGTGATTGGGTGAGACCATGCAAATAAGGTGTATGGGACTCTAAGGCTGGAGTTGGTTAGTTCTGGCACTCCATTAGGTTTGAAAAAAGAAGCCATCTCAGAAGCAGGAACAGATGATCCCAGGACAGGCAAGAAAGAAGAGCATGAGTGGAGTGTAAGATTCCTATCAAGAAAAGTGATGACAGCTGAGGTGGTGGCATGGAACAGCAGCTAGAGGCATCTAGGCCCATGAACTGAGTAAAGCTGTGTGCCTACAGGCAGGAGGCTGGCTTGCAGATGTGCCCTTTGGACATTTAACGGAGTTTGGTAACACTTGCCTGAGCAGCTCAGAGGCTGTGGGGCCACAAGGCTGAGAGGCTGAAAACAAGAGTTACCTGTGCCTGCAGCATGGCAGACAAGAGGTGCTTCTGATTGGAGAACTGCTGTTGATCCTGAATTGTACCCCATTCCCTTCCCTTGTTGTTGTTGTGTTATGTGCCGTGGAGTCAGTTTCGACTCATAGCGACCCTGTACAGGGTTTCCGAGGCTGTAAATCTTTACAGGAGCAGAAAGCCTCATCTTTCTCCCGCGGAACAGCTGGTAGTTTCGAACTGCTGACCTTGTGGTTCGCAGCCCGATGCATAACCACTACGCTTCCAGAGCTTCTTTCCCTAATCAGCCCCATAACTGTGAGCAGTGTTATGAGTTCTGTGTGGCCAATGCAATGGATTGTTGACACCAGCTGTGAAGCCGAGAGTGCTGAGAGGGATGGTTGGTGAGAGAACAGGGTGAAGAAGGATACAGGGTGGAGGTGAGTCTGACTCCACTACACAGGATTTGGTCTTGGACTGGTTTTTGTTTTATGTTTTTTTAAACAACAACAATCAAATATTTTATTAACTTTTTTTTTTCAAAAGCTTGCATTCACTATTTGTTATGCAAAAAAAATCCTGTGCATTTTGAGTAAATGAAAATTCCTTAGAAAATGTAAGTCTCTTCATTTTTGTAGATGCTCCTTTCTGTCGAGTATTCCTACTAATTCAGCATGCTTTCAGACATTCCTTCCTATTTTTTTAAAAGTTTGTATTGTGAATTGAGTAATAGTTTACATCAGTTTTACATTCATTGTTTCATTGCAATGATTACAATCTCCTCTGTGTATCATCATTCAAACTCACCAGCCACTCCTCAGAAACCCTATACAGGGTCATTAGAATCGGAACTGATTCGATGACACTTAACAACAGCAAGAGTGGAGGTCCTGCTGTATTTTGGTTTAATTCAGAAAATCTAGAGCATTTAAAAAATTATATTTATATAAAATAATGGCTCTGCCCACTGGCTTTGAAATAAAAGATCAGAATAGGCGCATGCATTGAAGAGACAACTAAGACAATAATCTTATCAATGAGAAATAAATGCTCCTATTAGCTGCTGTGGCATTGTGGGTTAGTGCATTGGATTGCATAGTTGGTTTGAACCCCAAGGTCGGTGGTTCAAGCTCACCAGCTTGAACCCTATACAGAGTGGCTATGAGTCAGAAATGATTCGATGGCACTTAATAACAACAACAACAATTAGCTACTAACTTGGTTAAGGTTTGGGATGGCAATAGAAGGAAGGAATATGTATTTTAGGAGTCAGAAAAAAACGTGTTCTACCAAGGACCAAGGAAACCCTCTTCTTTGCAATGTTGTACAATCTTGATTCCCCAACATAAAATTGTTGTTGTTATGTGTTCTGGCTCATAACAACTCTGTATAGAGTTTCCAAGGAGCGGCTGGGGTGTTTGATCCACTGACCTTATGGTTAGAAGTCCAGCGTTTATCCTACAGTGCCACACCAAGGCTCCAACATAACATTGCTATTGTTATTGTGTGCTGTTGCATTGGTTCCAATTCATAGTGGCCCTGTATAGGGTTTCTGAGTTGCATCTGGTGAGTTTGCATCAAGTTTAAACTGACATCAAGGTCGAGTGCTTATCCTATGGCACCATACCAGGACTCCAACATAACAGTATTGTTGATTAATGGATACATCATTAATTAGATGATGATTTTCTTTTAAAAACATTTTCAAACTTATGAAAATCAAACAGTACAAGGGACATCCAGGACATTTTACTAAGATTCACTTATTGTTATTATTTTATTCCCATTTGCTTTATCATTCATGCGCTCACACTCTCTTGTGCTTTCTCTGTCTTCCCCTCCATGTTTTTTTCTAAACCATTTGAAGGTAAATTACATAATAATTTAACAGCTGCAAAAAGTAAACAAAACAAAACAAAACAAGAATGCTAAACGTTTGTCTTGTACCCAGACTTCATGAGCCGTTTCATATACTGTCACTCACCATCTTCGGGAGCATTCTTATATTCTTTGTCTTCCATCACTTCATAGTCAAATCCAAGTAGATCAATGGGAATGGTGTATTTCCTGGCATAATTCTGCTGGGCACCAGTCAGAAAGGCTTGCGTGAAGAAGAAGCCAGAAAGCCAGAAGACTGGAGGAGAGCCAACCTCGTACCATTGCTATGATTTTAAAACACAAGTGTCCTAAGTTTAACTAAAGATACATCCTTTATTATCTCTTAGGTAAACTAACAAATGCGCTAACATTCTGAGGAATAATAAGGCATACTCTCAAGGTATTAAAAATAAGTAGCATATTCGTTGTTAATTTTGGCTTCAATTTCAAATCCATCACACCAGCTTGAGACTCACAATGTACATGACTGCAATATAGATGTGTGCTTCAGACACGCACAATGCTCCTTCTTACAAGTTCTATACTTTGTTGAACATCTAACGTCCATTGCTACACCATATATCACGTTATATGGCTGAAGAGAATAAGAAATCCCCATAAAGTCTAGAGAGAAGGTAATGTTTTTCCACTCTCCGCCCTCTCATTAGCACCCAGTAGAATATTTCTTTGGAAGTTTTTCTTCAACCTTCACTAAAATACAGTGAAATCCAATACATGGAAACACAACACTGTATAAGGAACACCCAGAAAATTCAGGTTAGTGACAATTTAACATACCTTGATTCTTTGTTTACATAACAGCTTCTAATCATGAGTTAGTTGAATACTGGTGTAAGTAAAATAGCAAATTAGAGAAGTCAGTTATAAGGCTGTGAATTTGAAAACCTTTTTCCTGTAACAACCCAACTTTTCTCATCGGTAGAGCCTTCATCTTTCCTAAGAGGCTCTGGTGTAAGAGAAGACCTGTATTATGAAAACAGAGCTCACACGTTCAGTCAATTTAGGCCTGTATACATTTCCCCATCAGCAGTTTTTGATGTGTTATGTATAGTGTCTAGGAAATTAATCGATACTTTTACTGGATATAATTGTTGTTGTTGTGGATATAATTACTAAGCACCAATATTACCAGATAATTAGGAGGCAGGTTTCTGCCCATTCAACATTTCCAAGATGATTAGCCATTAAGGTCGTTACTGTCTTAGACTGAACCAGCTAGCTAGTGACTTCATGACCTAAAAGACTGATGGGCAAGAAAGAAATTATGTTCCTCACTAGTAGCTTGCCTGGCTTTCTAACACACACTTCTCTAGGAATCTTCTTTAATGCTAAATATGAGGGTAAATCAAAAGTATTGCTACAAAACGACAGAAACCTTTATTAGACAAAATTATCAAAATGTGAAGCTATTATTTCTTGACATAACCACCCACCATCAAGGTCTATACACTTCTAAAAGCTGTGTTTCCAGCTCTCTACCCTTCCCCCAGTGAATTCTGCGCACTTTGATTTATACCCAGTCATAAAGACACTGTTAGCATCTTCAAGGGACACAAATCCTGCTCCTTTTCAATGATCTTTGAGTTTGGGGAACAAAAAGAAGTCTGAAGTGGCAAAATGAGGGCTGTAGTGTAGATGGAGTAAGGTTTTCCAACAAAATTCTCCTAGGATAGTTCCTGCTACCCTTGAAGAATGAGCAAGTACATTGTTGCGATGAAATAAAATTCCTTGGTGCAACTTTCTTACCTTTTGCTTACCAAAGCATTTTCAGTTTTCTTAAAAATTCTTCCTAATAAAACCCCTGTGATTATTCTGTGTCATTCGAGAAACTCTGTCAAGATTACCCCTTTGTAAAACAGTCATTGTAACCTTCAGAGCTGACCTCTGTGCACTGAACTTAACTAATCCAGCAGATGCCCTCAGAAGTCATTGTTTTGACTGGACTTTATTCACTAGATCATATTGTAAATCCAAGACTTGTCCATAGTTATAATTCATTCCATAAAATTGTCTTCATTACCTCCAATCTTACTTAAAAGATTGATGAAAAGATCAGTTCTTTGAGCCAGCTGATGTTTGTGCAATGCTTTTGTCATCCATTTAGTCAAAGGCTTGCTAAAACCAAGATGTTCACTTAAAATTGGCAATGCTGAAAAATACACTATCAAACATAAGTGAAAATACACAAACAGTAGAAGACAAACTACGTAACTGAGACCTCCTAAAACTTAGACACAAAGAGAGTAAAAAGAGAACAAACATACAGACTGGAAAAAAATTTCTGGCAATGACATATCAAACAAGGAGTAGTCTCTAAAATCTATGGAAAACTTAAAGAAATAATACTTTAGATCATTAGTCATTAGAGAGACTAATTAAAATAACAATGAGATATCATCTCCTTTCATCATGAATATGGTTAAACAGACAGAAAGCAACAAAAGCTGGTGAGGATGTGGAGCGACAGGGACCCTTGTACACTGCTGGTAGGACTGTAAATTGGTACAACGACTATGGAGAATAGATGGCACTTCCTTAACAAGTTGATAATAGAAATAACATATGACCCTGCAGTCCCATTGTTAGGTGTATAGCCTAGAGAAATAAGAGCCAAGACACAGATATATGTGCATCCATGTTCAAAAATGCCCATCAACAAGAGTGTATATAGAAACTTTGGTAATTACACACAATGGAATATTACATAATGTTATAGAATTACATGAATCTGTGAGACACTTCATAACATGGATGAACCTGGAGTAAATTTTGGTGAGTGAAATAAGTTAATCATGAAGGTATAGATATTATATGAGAACACTACTATAAAAAGTCAAGAAAAGGTTTTCACACTAATAGAAACATTCTTTGATGGTTACCAAGGGTGGAAGGGAAAAGAAAGGTAAATACTAACTAAAAGGTAGATACATATTAACTTTGTTGAAAACAAAACAAAATCAAAAGCTGTTGAGTTAACTGTGACTCATAGTGAGTCTATAGGACAGAGCAGAGCTGCTCCACGTGGTTGCTGAGGCTGTAGATCTTAAGAGAAGCAGGCAGCCTCATCTATCTATCCTCCACAGTAGGTTTGAACCACTGATATTTTAGTTAGCATTCAAGCATTTAACCACTGCACTACCAGGTCTTGGGCGAAGGAGAAGAAAATATATATGAGGGAGTTTAGCAAAAAAATGATGAAGACAAAAGGCAAATACTAAATACAAAATCTTTCAATAACAATAATCTAAGGGAGAATGCATAGATAAAAGCTGAACAGATGTGGGAAGGAGAATGGTGGTATTATACCATGAATATGAAGGGGTTTCAAATAGTTTGTGAAGAAATTGAATGAAAAGAGAGTGGGATATGCCCACAATTTTTTTGAAGCCCCTCAAATATGGATTTGACAAAGGAATTTTCCATATATGTATTTACCTATGCTGCAAATATCCCCATGAACATAGTAGAGTATATAGGGGGCAAAGTTATGAACACTTCTTAGCGATAACAAAACTCCTTGAGGGAATGAGTTGCTAGGACTGGGAGCTCAGGACCATAATTCTGGGAGACACTAAGGTCAACTGGCATAACATAGTCCAAAAAGACAATGTTCTATATTCTACTTTGCTGAATAGCAACTAGGATCTTAAAAGTTTGTGAGCACCCATATAACATACAACTATGGATCTTTTCCCACCCAAGGTAAAGAAGAGTAGACTAATGGACTGTGCAAATCCCAGCCTCCCTGAGACCAGAACTGGATGATGTCCAGAAACCACTACCAACTGCTCTGAAAGGAATCACATTAGAAGGTCTCTGATAGAGTGGGAGAAACATGTGGACCTCAAAATCACACACACACCAAAGACTAGGCTTGACGGCCAGGTAGACTGGTGGAACCACCAAGACTATGGTCCTGAGTTCTTCAGTTCTTGAATTAAACTTACCCTAATAACTCAATTTTCAGCCAAGCAATAGACAGGTCTTTAAGGGAAACAATAATCTAAAAGAATCAACCGTTTGACAGCAAAAGGGCAGCATTTACTCAAGGACAAAGTTCAGAAAGGTTAGGAAAGGAGGAATGGAAACAGAACATACAGGGAGGAAATGGGATAAATGTTACATTGTGAGGACTGCAATCAATGACATGAAACAAAATGTGTATGAATTGTTTAATGGAAACTGATTTATTCTGCAAACCTTCACCTAATTCATAATATAAAGTTTAAAAGAACAATAAAAAATAAAAATTGTGTCTTAGAAAATAAATAGAACTGAAAGTTTTGAACCATGTGAAATCCCAATTTCAGTAGTCATTGCAACAATGGTAATTCTACTGTCTTTTGTTCACGGTTTTGGACTTCAGCCACAGCTTCCACATTCTTCAAGGCTCACCATCTTCCCTTTGTTGGCTCTTCTTTGAGTTTTTCCTTAAAACACTTGATCCATTTAACAACTGTTGTTTTATGTGGGGTAGTATTCCTGTAAACTTTCTGCAAAGTGTCAATGATTTGGGAACATGTCCACTTAAGTTTTGCTAAAAATTTCATATTAGCTCTGATTTCAAAATAGTTTTTTTTTGCACGACACAAAAAAGATTCCTTTTTTGGAAGGCACCAAATTGAGAACTTGTCTGCAGCCCTCCATCGATTGCAGAGACATGTTAAAGCACATTTTGCTGGGAATAAACTCGTGCATGTATCAACTCCAGCTCCACGGCACATAACCACCACCACCACCATGTATCAACTATAACCCTAGTTGGAGTACTTTTTGACTTGTGCATATATTCATGGAAAAATTAAAAATTTCTCTCTTCAAATGTCATTGATTTGGATGTCTTACTTCACTGAGCACGAACATCTGTTCCTAAAGCAGCTTTCAGAGATTCTACGCCCAATACTAGTACTTACAGTGGTCAGTAAAACGGTTACACAGATTATATGCAATATGTATACAGACAGACATATATATATATATATATATAGTCATTTCTACCTGGTCTTTTAATACAAAAAAATTTAAGTAACATTTATCACACTAACCATACTGATGAAGAAAATGAAAGTGCAAGAACCTTAATGCTCTATGATCATTTGGAGGTACTCACCTGCAAGAATTTCAATCTTGCAAGGAAGTCATTGATATAGCTGCCAAGCGGTTTAAGGCTTGGGTAGGATTTACCCATCCACATTCCTGGAATTTTGACATTCAGAACGCTGCTAACCACTTCTTCAAGCTCTGTAGACATCACTACAAGACCCTGAAATACCAAATTGAACTTTTGGTTAACAGAAAGGTGTAACTGACAAACAACCATCTTTTAAATAGTTTCTTCACAATTATTCTGCATTTGTAATTGTGATTAAAGTTGAGTCATATAACATACGAAACCCACAAGGCAGCCATGGATAACTCATCTTAGAAAAACATCATTAATTTTAAGCTAACCAGATTTTAATGGAAAGTCTTCTTAATACTTAACCAAGTATCAATTATTCAACTGACAGTGGTAGGAGTCAATTCTGACTCACAGCCTTTCCGAGGCTGTAAATCTTTACAGGAGCAGAAAACCTCATCTTTCTCCCAAGGAACAGCTAGTAGTTTCGAACTGCTGACCGTGAGATTAGCAGTCTGATTCGTAACCACTATGCCACCAGAGCTCCTTGATTATTCAGCTCCTCACTTGCTATTAAACCAAACCTTAACTTGACTCTACTAAATGGACAAGTGATTTAACTTTTCTACCTTATTAAAAAAAATGGTCATAATTCAAAATTAGGAAAATTATAAGAAATGCTTTGAAAAGATAAAATATTCTATATTCAATTGTGAAGTCTAACTAATCTTATCGCAAATATACACCCTTCTCTTGTGTTCCTTTCAAACAAGTACTGAATCACGTATAGTTTTACCATTGTTTGAGACTGGGTGGAAAGGATTAAATAAAGTATGTTGCTGATAGGTGTCTTTGAATTGGTTCTGACTCATAACAACCCTGTATAGGGTTTCCAAAGTTGTAAATCTTTATGAGAGCAGACAGTTTTATCATAATCCTCCGACAATTACTCAAAGGCAAAGGGTAAGAAAACAGAAAAGTTAAGACTAGCAAACAGGCCTCCTCTGAATCGGAATGACCCAACACTCAGAGCAACACATTGGCTTCAGAAAATGACAAATTAATTGACAATACTTATACAATACTTATAGAGTACTGTGGAGTCCTGGTGTGGCGCTGTGGGTTAATGCACCAGACTGCAAAGCCATTTGAACTGCAAGGTCGGTGGTTCAAGCTCACCAGCTGCCCCTCAGAAACCCTATACAGAGTCGCTATGGGTCGGAACCAACTTGATGGCACATAACAACAACAACAATAGAGTACTGGTGTGGTGCTGTAGAATAAGCACTAGACTGCTAACAGCAAGGTCAGCAGTTCAAACCCAGCAGCTGCTCCTCTGAAATCTTATAAAGGGTTGCTATGAGTCAGAATGGACTCAATAGCACTTAACAACAACATAAACTATCTGGATAAAAACTGAACATTCCAGATTGGTTCAAAAAGTTGTACCCTCGGGCTTTCTAGGTCAATGACAATATGAACTGCAAAGGAGAATTTCTATCTCTACATTTCTCCTTTGATTTGTTTTAATATCTTACTGTGTTGGAGAGAATTTCTGAAGACCTATCCTAAAACACAAATAAAGGCATCTTTATATTGTTTCTGACTTTAATGATAAGGGTATTTGGTATTAGTTTTCAATAAATTTTTTAATCATAACACAATGAGTAATGACAGATTACTAAGGGATTTTTTTTTAAATTTGTTTAAATCAGGAAGATATGCAGAATTTTATTATCTACTATTTTGGTATCTAGTAGAGTCCTGTTGTGGCACTATAGGATAAGCACAGGACTGAAAAGTGGGTTTGAACTGCAAAGTTGGTGGTTCAAACCCACTAGTTGCTCCTCAGAAACCCTATACAAGGTAACTATGAGTCAGAACCAACTCGACTGCACTTAACCACCACAATACCAAGCCATGGTATTTTCAGTTGCCTCATATGCATGAAAAAGCTGAACAATGAATAAGAAAAACTGGAGAAGCAGCAATATGTTTGAATTATGGTCTTGCCGAAGAATATAAAATATGCCACAGACTGCCAAAAGAACGAACAAATCTGTTTTGAAAGAAGTACTGCCAGATTACTCCTTGGAGGCAATGATGGAGAGATGTCATCTCTCATATTTTGGGCATGTTGTCAGGAAGGACCGGTCCCTGGAGAAATGCATCATGCTTGGTAAAGAGGACAGTCAGCAGAAAAGACGAAGACCGTCAATGAGATGGACTGACACAGTGGCAAACACCACTTGTGAAGATGGCGTGGGACCAGGCAGAATTTTGTTCTGTTGTATCAGTTGAACTGACTCTATGGCACGTGACAACAAAGTGACTATACAATTATATCTTTAACTTGTATATATCTGCATGAATTCATTTACTGATCCTACACCAACCTAGCATTATAGGATCAAACTCTATATGGCCATC